AGAAATTTAATTGATAACGACAAAAATTTGGTAGTGATTTGTTGTTGGTTTGTTGTTATAATTATTATTTTTGCTTCTTTTTATTCGTTTTTTTCTTAATTTTCTTATTCTTTTATTCGTATCCGCTAAATGTCCGTCGTTTTTTTTCAAATTCTTCTAAAGATAGCTGCTGACTGATAAAATTCAACAACGACTTTTACAAAAAAAATTAAGTTGTAAAAGAACCTCAATTTTCAATGCCCCTGGATCGTCAAATATCTGTTGGTGAATTTGGAGCAGTTTTGAGGTAATTTTTCATCAAAAATTTTTGTTGCTAAACGGTTTTTTCAATTTGTTTTTTTATTTTCTTTTTCTCACATTTTTTAATTATCTTTTTTTTTAGCAAAAAATCATTTATGATGACAGCAGCTTTCAGCAAATGGTTTACAACAACGTCAGCAATAATAGGAAAAAAATAATATTTTTAATATTAATAATAATATTAATTTTTATATCAAAATAATATTGATAATAACATTAGAAAAAATAATAAGAGTTTTTTAGCTCTAAGTTAACACATGTAAAACTGCTGAAGTTAACAACCCAAAATTACGAACTATAAGTTTGGATGTGTTAACAGTAGTTGGACAACAATGCTCAAAAAGTTTCAAACTGAATGTAGTTAAATTTATTTAAAAAAGCATCCTTTATAGTAGAAGTCTATCGTTCTTTGATGTTATATCAATCAGACGGTAAATGTTTTCGCTGCAAAGTTGGAGCTATGTGACGCAGATTTCTATAAATTTTTATTAAATGTCGACTATTCGGTGTGCTGAATCAAGCCAGTAAAAAGAATTGAAAACCTTTTACCGAGCTAATAAATCATGAAAATCTTCAAGACCGTTTCAAAATCGTCATTACGGGTGTGGTAATTGAGTTCACATTCTTCTTCTCCTTCTTTCTCTGCTTTTTTTTCCTTCTCTTTCTACTGAATTACATCAAATTATTGACTAAAAATAAAAGATTTAAAGAGAGCGGATTACGACATAGCATACAGAATACAAAAAAAGAGGAAGGTAATTTTTGACCAAACATATTTTTTTATTGATAAAAATTAAAATTTCTACCAAATATTAGCATATTTCGATAACTCATCGGTTGCTTACCAAATAGAAATCATCAAATACTAAGTGTAAAACCTCTGTTAC